CTTATTTCCCATCTTAGGCGAGGTTTTCAATGTGCACTGGCCGGTGGGTGGGTATCGAAAACGGACAACTTGGATAGCTGGCCAGCATTCTACACCTGAATTAGCGATACTTATTCGCTTATACATTAGAAATCATTAGATCATTATAATAAAGGTTTTGTTGTATTTCTCAATGAATGAAAAACAAAACGATATTGTTTTTTACTGACATTTCGCTATTTAATGCTGCCAGTAGCTTTATCAAAGTATTATTAAACCAGAATTTATAAAATCCACTCAGCTTATATAAATAACTTAATCATCGTTCCTCAGCGTGGGGGCATTTTCGCGTTGTCAAGTTGGCCAGTTGTTAAAGATAACAAAACCAGGTGTAGATTGTTGAATTTTATAAGTATGTGAAATTATGAAAACAGAGTGTGTTTACATAATGAAATTGCTTATCACATTCGTGTTGATTTTGTCACGACGTGGGGGATGGGGGTGTTGTAACCAGGTCAGATTCTGTTTTAGTCCATCATTCCTATTCACCAGACAAATTGGATTCCACTTCATATGAAATGCTTCTGATGATATCAGACGACGTTCTTTGTGATTTTTGAAACTATTTGTGGATGATGATTTCAATATTGTCAAAATCAATTTTGTGGCCTGGTTCTATAGAGTAGAGTGTAGACGACCTATGACTGATGATTTTCCAAGCTTTTCTAGTTCACTAACTGGATTTCTCGATGTTCGGTCGAACAGCCGCGGCTCTACGGTGTTCATTTCTTCCGATTTTTGATTTCTCTCTGGTAATGTTTGTCCGAAATACAAAAAAGAATCTTTATTATAATGAATATCCTTATATATTAATTGAATTTTAGATTTTCCCGTCAATTGACTGATTGCACCGAAGTGCTCGGTCTCAGGTTGACATGTTGGCTTGTTGTGCAGATGCTTCGACAGTGTCTGGGCATTTATTATTATTATTATTATTGTTTCCTTTAATTCCTAGAGGAACATAGGGCTTCAACCGTGCGTCTCTATTGCGTTCGGTTCTCTGCTAGAGTCTTCACCTGGCTCCATGTCTGCCCAGATGCTTTCATCTCCTCTTCACATGACCTCCTCCAAGTCACCCTTGCATTGACGACCAACTCGCCGCTTCCCTGTCGGGTCCCACTCGAGCAATGGCCTGTCTAGTGATGCCACTTGATAGTTTCCTCAGAGTATGGCCAATCCATCTCCATTTCTTCCTGCCTATTTGTTTCACAATCGGTTTCTGGGCATTTAATTAGAATTTAATTGGTGGATGGTGACTAGCATTGGAATCCAGGATACGCATTTCGTCCTATTTGGGACTCGTCTCCCAGCTGGATATACCTGCATTCCCCAGGGAATGGTGGTTTTCCCACTGAGTCTCAAACCCAGTGTCTATAGTTTCAAACGCCAAAGCGTTATCCACTAGACCACTTGGGCCACGAAAACCACCTCTTGTGCAACGGGTCTAATGGATAACGCTTTGGCGTTTGAAACTATGGGCACTGGGTTCGAGCCTCGTTGGGAACATCATCACTCACTGCGGAATGCAGGTACATCCACTGGTTGATGATTCCTAAATAGGACGAAATGTGCGTTATCCTGGATTCCACTACTAGTCACCATCCACCAATTAAATTCTGATTACTTATAATTGCTGTGGAACTGATGATGTATTTGTTATTCGGTCATGTGGTACAGTGGTGGTGAACTTTTACTACAAACACTACAATTTAAAAAATAGCAAATATAAAATGATTAACTCAGTCTATTTTATCCAATCTTGAACTAAAAAATAACTCTCTTATCACTCACTGTTTTGTTTTTAGTATTACTCTTAAAATAAACTTGAACCGCTTTTTCTTTTATTATTTCATGTTTCCTCTAATTTCTATAGCTATGATTCGTCAACTGCTGTTAGCCTTGTTCAATTGTTCAACTGTCAAGTTCAATACTACCAATAATAATACAAATATTGAAACCTTTGAAACCTTAGACTATCTCCGTCTATTGGATGATGCTTTCAATTATGAGGAGGAGGAAAAAGTTGTTGATGAAAGTAGACCGGCTGCTACTTCTTCTTCTCATGCTGATGCTTCATCATCTATGAAAGAACATGATAGACAACGTCTTACTGCTGTACTTCTACTGGCTCGTCAGTTATGCTCTGAAGATAGTCGACTAACTGGTATCACTTATAGCCAATGGTGGAATGACACCTTCTGCAGCCCGCTGCCTTCACTACTGTCATTGACAAACACATCGTCATCATCATCCTCAGGGTGGTTAGAGAATCATCCATCAGCACAGCACTTTGGTTGTTGCATCCTTTCATCTCGGCATACAGTCTTTTATTTCGCTGACCTGTTGATTGATTTGTTACCATGGGAAAATGATGTTAGATTTCTTCAAGTACAGTTGAATACCAAGCCGAATTGGTTTAATACAACAAGTAAGCGATCAATAAATACTCGAGTGAAACCAAGTTCTTCTTCTTGTTCTTCTTCTCCTGGAGATAATCATTTAAAGAATACTGGATCAGGTGTTCCACATGCGGAGGAAGAGGAGGGTGCTGATGACGACATTAGAATGATGTTGGTTCCGGTAGATATGCTTTTAAGAGATAGTACTAATAATAACAGTAATATTGATTATATGGAAGCGTGTATGAATCGATGGAATGATTACTGTGAAATTGGTCGTGGAAGATTGGCTGAATTAAGGGTAAGATTCATCGATTTATTGATTTTTTCCTAAATTATTTGTAGAGTTTATTGTATGTGTGATGCTACTAGATTCCAAGGAATATAATATAATATTATATTATTGTTCCCTTGGGTTCCTAGTGGAACATAGGGCTACAACTGCACATCTCCACTTGCTTCTGTCTTGTGCTGTACTTTTCACCTGCAACCATGTTATTCCATACTTTTAGAACTCCTCTTCACACAATCTCCTTCATTTCACCCTTGGACATCCCACTCGCCACTTCCCTTTCGGGTTCCACTCGAGCTATGGCTTGACGCACGATGTCACCCAGCGGCTTCCTCAGCGAGTGTCCAATCAATCCATCTCCACTTTCTCCTGCATATTTGTTGGGCGATTGGTTCTTGTTTTGTTTGTTTGTTCCCATAGTTTCTTGTTGGTGATTCTTTCCGGCGGCCATCTGATCTTCAGTATAGAACGAAGATAGTTGTTGATAAACGAATGCGTGTCAGTGACTCATTAGTAGAATGCTCGTCAACCATTGCAGCAGACTAAGGTTGGATTCCCACCCGACTCACCCCTGCACCTGGAGAAAAGAGAATGTTGAGCATCAGGGGGGGGGGGCGACTGGTGATCATTACTAGTTGGAACTTCAAGAATTAAAACTCAAATAAAACTCTATGGGACGAATGTCTTCAGCACTGGGTTTAAAGACGCTCCGTTTCTGTAGGTTTTTCACATCTTCTTTTGGTTTGGCTTGGCTTTGGTTATCGCGTGAAGAAAACCATTCGGGATTCCAGGTTTAAGTCCCACTAGAACCGCAGAACATTTGTTAAGAGAAATGTGTATTTAACACATTCATGTGCAGCGATCCTAATTACAATTTGTCATCAGTTGATGAAATCCTTAACAGTTAGTTTGAGGCACGCAGGGAGGTGTAGGCTTCCTTGTGAGGGTTCTCAGAATCCCAGGAACCAATGGCTAGAGACAATTGGTGATATAACTCAAGGCGAGCTCATAAATAATTAAACCACTGGAACCTGATCCAATGGCCCATGAATTCTAAGAAGAAGACATTGCGAAGTGGTCGCGCTATGTCATGAATTGGCAGAAGTTAGAATTCATGGACTGGCCATTGGATCGGGTCCCAGTGGCTTAATGGTCAACGAGCTTGCCTTGTAACCAGAGGGTCCTGGGTTCGAACCCCGGTGGGTGTGTACTGCCGAAAATTCCGTAACTAGGGCGAAACAGCTGTCTAGTACTCCCAGGTTTCCCAATGGTTCTGTAACCAATGTCAGTTCATGATGAAATCCTCCAACCAATCAAACAAAATCACTACAAAACCAATACTTGAAAATAGCTGCCGCAGATGCATTCACTCTTTGTGACTTGCTAGTCATATCCAATAAAACTCTATTGTTCTTCCATATTACTACTATTCTTTTTCCCTCAACACACTTCTGTCTATTATCTCTCTTCTCTTGCTTTGTGTACCACATGACTGACTGGTTTCAACTCTCCATCGATGTGCAGCAGTTCGAGTCGCCACACTCCATGTAGCACACAAAGCAACAGAAGAAAAAAGTAAAAAGAAACGCAAAATAGAGACAGTTAACAGAGATATGAGGCAAAAAGAATAGTAATATCGAAGAACAATATAGTTTTATTGGATATTATAAGTCACAAGGAGTGGATGTATCTGTTGAGAACGATTTTGAGCCATATCACCAGTTGTCTCCAGCCATTGGTGTTTACCGTCCCGAAAACCCCAACCAGTCAGGAAGTCTACACCTTCCTACGTGGCTACTGGCTTAAACTAACTGTTGTGGATTTCACTGACTGATGAAGCCATGTTTTCGTTTGACCACCACCGGCTCTTTTCCGACCTGACCAATCCTATGCCAGCTTAAATTGCCCGATGTCGAGGAAGGTGATGGCTAGGCATGCCTACGTAACACATGTCCTAAACATTTCAGTCGATGTAACTTCACAGCCTCGTCAATTGATTTCCCCTCTTTACCTAACACTCTACGCCTAACCTCAATATTGCTCACCCTATTACATCATTATTTCACACGGGAGATAGAACGCAGGCACCTATGATCATCACATGTGTACCACATGGAGTATGGCAACTCGAACTGACCTATATCTGTGCAAAGGTGTATATTGAAACCAGTCAGTCATTCATAGAAAAAAGCATATTAATAACAATATCTCATCTTTGTGATGTAAAGAATTATTAAAACCTTTTCTTCTTTTTTTTCTTCCTATAGGAGCACTGTAATTCAACAAAAGGTGGTGGTGTACTGTTAATAGAAAGTAAGGCATTAAACCGCCAAGAGAATTCACCCACTACTCCTACTACACCTACTCCAGGTTGGTGTGATGTTCTCAACTGGTTAACTGAGATTGTAACACAATGTACAGTCGATAATGCTGATGAACAAACGTCTTCTTCTGCTTCTTCCTCTTCTTCTTGTCGTTTACTATCAAAGGTGAATGAAGCTAATCTGTTTCGGTAAGTGTTTGCTAAAAGGTGGTAATTGCATATCTTTTGTAGGTCTTTTCCATCCTTGTGTGTGTATGTGTGTGGGTCTGTATTATTTACTGACTGATGTGCTCTGTGGACCGTGATAGAGTGCTATTATCACCATCATTATTCCCTTGTGTTCCAACTGGAACATTGCCTTCAGCAGCAACAGGAGCCCACTTCCACTTACCTCTGTTCATTAAAGTCTTTTTCACAGCTAACTTTATAACTGTCCTCAAGCCTTCATTCCCTCCTCCTCCTCTTCACACGATCTCCTCCATGTCACTGTCGGATCCAACCTGAACTCGTTATTTACCACTTGAACTCCTCCACTTGACTGTCTGTCTGATGTGTGTGTGATGTCACTCAATGGTCTCCTTGGCACGTGTCTCCAGTTCACCTCGGTTTCCTTCGGCATATTTGGCTGACTAGTCTGCAGAACAGTACTGACAGTAGTAGGGAAGCAAGATGATGAGGGTGACAGGGATAAAGGAGTAGGATGATCAGGAGGGCTTCGGCTGCTTTGGAAGTGCCTGGGTGGTTGTTACTTTTTGGCTGCCCACACTGTGGTAGTTGACTTTTTCTTGGGGTACCTGAAACAGAAAGAGAGTTAGTGTTATGTGATCGACTGTAGAGCCCAGAGGACAACTGCTTGAGGCAGGTAACACACGGCCTGTCTGAACTGGCTTCTTGGATTGGTTGTGTATTAGTAACTTACCACCGGCTACGTACCATTGTACGGTAAATCGGGATGTACAATTTTCGGGGTCGACCTTTTCTAACCCCCTCTCTCCAGAGTGAAAAGACAACATAGCTGCTGGCATGCTGGGGGAACACCTTACTGAGGCTGTTACATCCCTGTTCTCCAGCAGTACGACTTTGCCCACTATGCCGGTAGCTGCTTTTAGTCTAATCGCTATACTAACAATCTTCCTGGCCTGATAAGACCTGCAGGAACAATAGTTCCAGCCAGTGTAGCTTGTTGGGTTATTTGCAATATGCAAGTCGGCGATTACCACCACATCAAGGTAGCAGCTATCATCAGTCGGGTTCTGCATATTTGTTGGACGATAGGTTGTTGGTTTGTTCATTGCTCCTCTGCCAGAGGTTCTTGTTGCTCATTCTTTTTCTACCTGGACATCTGATCTTCATTATGGTGACATCCAACGAATCAGTTATTACTAGAAATTCGAATCATTTGTGTTTAAAGACCTAAAGAGTAGGATAAATCCCTTTCATAATTTATCATATTAGAGTTGATGTGTGCGTCGGTGGCACAGCGGTTAGGACGCTCGCCGACCATGCACATGGTCCGGCCTTCGATCCTCGGCCGACGCACTCCTTTACCTCGCTAAGCCAGAAATAATGCTGGTAAAGAGGAAAGGTTGGGCATGAGGCTAGCAACCCCATCCTGTAAAAATAAACACTGCTACAGAAACTTCAAACCACCAGCTTGAAGCTCCATGTTCCACTGGGAACGTGAAGGAAAAAAAAAGAGTTGATGTGTAGACTGTTCTGGCTGCAAAGAGTCTTCAAGATATTCTAAGAATCAATAAGTTGAAGACTGTTGGTGTAGCCTTTAAAAATCCTTCACAATTCCGTAGACACACTGAGCCTTGCTGATCTCTTGCATCTATTCACTGACTGTGTTTATTCCCCATGTAAATTATTCTTTTGCTTCGTATACCTCTGTTTATTATAATTCTTTCACATTTCTCTACCTTTGTGTGCGTTATATATATGACATAAACTCCTACACTTTTTTTCGCAAAGTTGACCTACTTAAACGGGATGCAACTGTAACCTTTTGTCACCCAGCTGATAACCAATGTGTTTTTGTTGTCACACCCAACTTCTTCGACTTCAAATGGTCACGACGACGTCTCACTAAAGCTTCATCTTGTAGTCTGTGAGTAGTAAGCGTCTGATTAGTTTGCAAGTGTTATGGTTAGTCTAGAGTTGATTGATGACAGGCTTGATTACCGGGTTGCACCGTTGAAGAGTCCCAAACTAGGACAAAACGAATGTCCAATACTCCCTAATTTTAAAAGAAATGAAAAGGCCGACTAGGTGTCTTTGGTCATAGGTGCCTGCGTTCTTTCTCCCGAGTTGGGTGGTATAGTAGGGTGAGCAATATTGAGGTTAGCCGTCGGTCGAGTGCTAGGTAAGGAGGGAGGGGAAATCAATCGACGAGGCTGTGAAGCTACATCGACTGAGATGGTTTGGACATGTGTTACGTAGGCATGCCTAGCCATCGCCTTCCTCGACAATGGGCAATGTTAGCTGACATAGAGTCAGGCTGGAAAAGAGTCAATGGTGGTCAAACGAAAACATGGCTTCATCAGTCAATACAATCCATAACAGTTAGTTTAAGCGAGCCAGCCACGTAGGAAGATGTAGACTTCCTGACTGACTGGTTGGGGTCCTCGAGATGGTAAACATCAATGAAGGCTGGAGACAATTGGTGGTGAAATGGCTCAAAATCGTCCTCAATGGCTGGCGCAGATGCATCCACTCCTTGTGACTTATAATACCCAATGAAACTACATTGTTCTTCATTATTACTATTCTTTTTGTCTCATATCCCTGTTTACTGTCTATATTATGCATTTCTTCTACTTTCTTCTCTTGCTTTGTGTACCACATGTAGTGTGGCGACTTGAACTGCCGCAGATATGTGCAAAGTTCTATGTTGAAACTAGTCAGTCAGTCAGTCATTGGGTGAATGGTCAACGAGGTCGCCTTGTAACCTGAAGGATCTCATTTCAATTCTTTATTGGGTTATAGGTGTACGCTGTTGAAGAGAGTCCCAGACAGAGATGAAACAGAAGAGACCAGTGTACTCCTTGGTGGTTCTCATTGGCTTTCTAATTGATCCCCAGTCAATTCATTATATATTTACGTCGAAACACCAGCGAGATACTAACACAGCGCCTTAGAAATGCGGTGAAAAGAGCATTCCCTGCTGCCGAATTACGCTGTGTCTTCAAAACCACTCCTCTTTTGCGTTCGGGAGTAAAAAGCAAACTGCTTAATTTCGTCTCTTCAGCGTGTATCTACCAATTTAACTGCTCCTGTGGAGCCAGTTATGTAGGCCGTACAATTAGGCGTGTTTCTCGTCGAATTTTCGAACATCGCCCTGCTTGGTTAGGTAAAGGACAAACAAAATCTATTCTTAGTGCTATTCTATCTCATCTTCTGGATACAGAACACAAGATTGACGTTAACCATGCTTTCAGGGTAATTTACCGCATACCTGCGAACCTCAATTTCGCCTTAAGAGTTCGACTACTAAACATTGCTGAGGCTGTGAGGATCCATATTTATAAGCCTAATTTATGCATCCAAAAGAAGTTAGTTCAGACATTATCCTTACCTTGGCCATCCAGGTTTGAATGATCCTGAATTTTATGGAATTTTCCTAATTTTAGTTGATATTCTATTTGTTACTTTATCTTTATTATTATTATTTGAGCATCTTTAATGAACTGTAATTCCAATGTGATCTTACTTTACAAATCGATATTATTTAAAAAACACTAATATTGTCATTGACTACTATTCTAGAATATTCTCTGTATATAAACATATGTATAAATAATTGTAGAGTCAGAAGAGGAAATTATCAAAAGGATGTTCTTTGCTCGATTATTTTGTGTTTTATAGATGCCTGGATGAATATTTTTGCTATATATCGAAACAGTTTATTTGGACTATTTTGTTCTTAAAATTATTTTATTTTCTAGTTTCCGCATGTTTACAATCATTTCCTTTCTTATCTTTGTTCTTTTTTTTTAAATTTCAGTCCACGTTGGCTTCGATGTACCATTATTCCAGCTCTGCTGCATGCACCTGAAGTAGGCAATCTGTCATCAGAATTAAAATTAGCTCGTGAACAATTATTGAGCGCAATACGTACTGCAGGATTATCACATTTGCTGGACAATTCTCCTTCAGAGACTATCAATATGAATACAGTCGGAAAACGGACAGGCGTTTCAAAGAAACGTCTTGCTAGTAGTAGCAGTACTACTGGTGTCTCGAAGAAAGCATCGAATAAAAAAAGAATTAAAAGCTGAATCGACAGCTTAAAGTGATAGCAATTGGTCTTGGAAAAACCAAGACAGAACAAATGTAAATAGTCAAATTTAGCCTTTCTTTATGACAGGTGGAGATACTTCTCACTATATCCAGTGTACATAACTATCTATTTTTTTGAAAATATTGTATTGTACATTTCGTGTATATATGCATGCCTATTATGAGATATTTTCAAGTATTGGTTTTATAGGGATTTTGTGTGATCGGTTGGAGGATTTCATCATGAGCTGACATCAGTTAGAGAACTATTGGAAAACCAGTCAGGGAGTACTGGACAGCCAGCTGTTTCGTCAGCCTAGTTTGAGAATCTTCATCAGTACACAGAAGTTAGGTGTCGAGTGCTAGTTAAGGAGGGGAAATCAATCGATGAGACTGTGAAATTACATCGACTGAGATGGTTAGGACATGTGCTACGTACGCCTAGTCATCGCCTTCCTCGACGGGCAATGTTAGCTGATATAGGGTCAGGCTGGGAAAGAGCTAGCGGCGGTCAAACGAAAACATGGCACCAATCAATGAAATCCATAACAGTTAGTTTAAGCCACGTAGGAAGATGTAGACTTCGTGGTTGTGGTCCTCGAGACAGTAAAAACCAATGGTTGGAAACAATTGGTGACATGGCTCAAAATCGTTCTCAATGGCTGGCGCAGATGCATCCACTCCTTGTGACTCATGATTTCCAATGAAACTGTTTTGTTCTTCGTTATTACGATTCCTTTGTCTCTCACCTCTGTTTACTGTCTATATTATGCATTTCTTCTACTTTCTTGTCTTGCTTTGTGTGCTGAGTGAAGTGTGGCGAGTTGAACTGCCGCACATATGTGCAAAGTTCTATGTCGAAAATAGACGGACAGACGCAGAAGTTAGAATTCATGAGCTGGCCATTCGATGGGTTTGAATGTCATTTAGTTTATTTTTCATCTCATATGAATTAGTTAGTTAGTCTAGAGTTTAAACGATTTCTAATGGGGCATAATATTAGAGCTAAGTGTTTTGATAATTCATAAGTAGGGGTATTTCTGAAATCTACTATTTATTGGGTGTATGGGGTACCCTGGTTTATGTATTTTAATACTACCATACATTCTACTAGCATTATCAGTTTTAGGCATTAAATTAAAGCATTTAGACTCACCCAGTGACGGCTTCATTCTGCGTATTAATTCCGCTGTAGATTTCTTAACCTTATTCATTATTGTATCTACAGGCTTCTTAATTTCCTCATATGGACCCATTTCAATATGTTCAGTGACTTTCTTGATATAGTCAGATTTATCCAAAACTACTGTGGAGTTTCCTTTGTCAGCTTTTGCGATGAGACGATGTTTTTATCCTGTTTTAGACTAATTAGAGCTTCTCTTTCCGATGTTATTATGTTTGATTTAGCCTTCTTTTGATTTTTCAGGGTTAATGCACATTGTGCTCGAACCTCTTCTGCTGTTGTCTTATCTATTGAACTTAGTGCTACTTCTATGTTAGGAATGATATCCTCTGGTTTTAATTTACTAACTGTTACTTTGAAATTTAGTCCTTTCTCAAATACTTTTATCTCACTTGAGCTTAGTTCCCATTTTGTTGACGTCAACGTTTCATCCTCCATTGGATCAGGTCACAGTGGCTTAATAGTCTACTAGCTCGCCTTGTAACTAGAAGGTCCTGGGTTCGAACCCCACTGGGATGGGTGCGTACTACTGAAGAGCCCCAAGCTGGCCTAATGAAACAGCTGGCTGTCCAGTACTCCCGGGTGGTTTCCAATGGTTGGTTGTCTAACTGATGTCAGCTCATGATGAAATCCTGCAACCTACTATGAGATAATTAAAAACACTGCGTCGGCAAGCTGTCCAGCGAAATTCTCTTGTTTTAATCTTGTTTCTTTATGAATTGACATCATCGTTAAAGAACCGTTAAAAACCCACTAGGAGTACTACTGGATAATTGTTTCGTCCTACTGCGGGACTCTTCTTCATCGGTACTCAGCTATAACCCCCAGCCAACCCAAACAGGGACCTAGGACCTTCAGGCTGCAATGCGGAATCTAATGTCCCGTGAATTCTAATTTCTGCCGTACATAGAAAAGAAAGCCAGATAGATGCTGAACGGACTCATTGATGACCTTGAAACGCCTAGTAAGAGCAAGGTTGTGGAAATTCGATAAATAATACTATGTCCATAGTAGAGTGATGTTGAGAAAAGTTCAGGAATAATTATCCTGTCGAGAGTTGTTACTTTGATGTGGTGGTTGAGCAAGTGGTGTGCAACTTAGTTGGCCTGTCAGTACATTACTTGATAGACATCTGAACAACTCACGCGAGAAATGGTCTAAATCTATACTGTCTAACCCTCTACTCTCCCCTTGTTGTATTTTATTTGGTAGAAATAGAAATCAGTACAAAAGATGATATGCTCGTACCACCGAGAATAGGAACTCAACGATACCCTATTTAGCCAGCCCGTGTTCTATGTGATAGAGACAATGTTAAGCGTGACATTTATGAATTACTACGCTGTTAGCAAAATAATCGGCCCTTTTATTATCTCCTCTTTGTAATCTATGGGGTGACACTACATCAATTAACAGACAATCTCAACAACTAACATTAGTGTTATTATTAATTGCTATTGTTTTTGTGCATAAATTATATATCTGACTTAACTGTCACTACAAATACCAAATAAAACTGCTTTTAACAATCAATCCGTCGCAGTAATATTATCTTTATAATTGTTTCCAATGTTATTCGATGCAAATTAGATGCAATAGTGTAACGAATGCTGAAAATTCCATACAGTAGTACCCTTAGTAATGCTGTTTTGGAATAAAGCAAATTATTATTAATTATTATGTATGCATGATGTAGCGTGTGCTACTGACAAGGTTTACAAGTAGTATGTGAATGCAAATATAAATATTCATGGAAAATTCCCATTGTAGCATATAGAAAATCATTATAAGTGGTGATTCAGAGAAGAGACTCTTTTCAACAACGAATTTACTATCAACCTGTACAATCGTGTATATGTGGTTTTTAAAACATTATATCTGATGAGGGAATTGAATCATAGGTGTGAATGCATAAAATAATAATAATAGTAGTATGAAATGCAATTAAAACTAAAATGTTTGTGATTATAACCGTAGTTAAGTGTCAAGTGGCGAAACAAATTACTGTCACATATCTAGAATAATTCATAGGATGGATAAAACTTGGAAGGGGTGTGCAATTATACGATTAGTAGGTAAATCGAATAAAATGAAAACGTTACGTAATATTGTGTGAAATTTGATAGCATAGAATTTAACGTTGTAAAAAAGAAGAATTGATTTAGAATGACAAGTGAAATAACAGCCAGGACAATTCAGAGTGAGAATAACAATTGACGTAATAGAGGAGGAGTATACAGTTTGAATAGATAAAACGAAAATAGTTGGTAGAGCCAAAATATATGATTGGGGATTACCACTCCATAACAGTTTTCGATAAATCGATCTCTTCAGAGTTACATTGGTCCTCCTTGATAAGTTCATATCAAGGGAATGAATACTAGACTATTTCTCCATTTCGAGTGTAAATGTTATCTCTGGATGGCAACCATTGAATGCATTTAATATATTATTCAAAATGGAATAATGTGGAAAGTGTAAATACGGATTTCAATGAAAACAAAACACGTAGATCAGCAAAGAGTCTCTTTTAGGCGAATTCATTTTCTTAGCTGTACAATCGCAAATATATTTGAGTTATTTTGTATGTATATGTACATTAAGTTTGTCAAACAAATATACAATTGGTTATAGTTATTTTAACTGAACAGGTGAAGATTGGTAATTGGAGTTACGTATTACAAAAACAGTCAAGAAAATTAGGTGTTATTGAAATTAGGGTAGTAACAAAGGTGAACTGTTGTCACAAACAGTTGTTAAAAAAGAAGTTATGTAATAATATGAATAGTTTGATGATTGAGTTTTACTCAGGATGCACATAAGAACAAAGTCGATAATACGAATTACGTAAGAGTTCTAAATGAATACAAGAATTATAAGTAATTAAAGAACAGGCGAAGAAACAAAATTAAGTCATCAAAATAATAAAAATCAAATCAAGAAAGTTGTTACCAAGACGGTACAAGTGGTTGAGTAATCCTCTTTTGTATGCACAGCTCCGGTTTTTCTATGTGAATGGCCAGAGCTTCAGTGATACAAAGAAGACGAAACCGTTTTGCCTTTGATAGGTTATGCTTGACTCTGTAGATTACTTTGAAAGAGGCGTCTGTTGGAATGGAATGATCAGTGTTAACCAGGTGTTCAATTATCGCACTCCTTATTGCACCACTATTGCCTTTTCGCAACCATGCTGGATAGTGAGTGTTCTTGAATCCTCTTGGACAGGGTGCGCGTCGAACGACCGATGTACTTGGATGTCTCCACAGCAGCAGGTGAACTGATATATGCACACAGAAGTGGTCAGATGCAGGATCTTGTTCTTGAGGCTTGTGCAAATCAGTGGGCGATTGGAGAACACTATTCTTAGCGTTGCTGCAAAGAATGTTCTTCTCAGAGATGTTTGTTTGACAAACTTAATGTACACATACATACAAAATAACACATATATATTTGCGATTGTACACCTAAGAAAATGAATTCGCCGAAAAGAGACTCTTCGCTGATCTACGTGTTTTGTTTTCATTAATTCCTAGATGGGGATTATACATGAATTGAAATACGACTATATCGGCACATCCCCATTTCACTCTGCAGTCTTTGTTTAATTAGCTGCAAAATTAGTCCATAAGCTTTCGTTTCCTCCTCCTTACAAGATCTCCTCAGTGTCACCCACGCCCAACTCCTCCTTTCTCATTCGGATTGAAGTGGGATTTTAGTTACTCTTTCAATATTTCTGTTAGCAGAACTGCTTCACTATGGTACTATGGTATTTGATGTAATTTCTACTCTTTGAAAAGTGTCTTTTGATCGATAGATAGTGTTCATGAATTCCCGCTCCAAATTACATTGTCTAAAGAATACGAGTCTACCTCTTGTCCCTTTTTGATTTACCTGAATAGAATATCTACGTAGAAGTAGACTTATCAATCTAGTGAATTCAACGAATGTATCACATTTGTCATCATACTGAGTTAGAAGAAGTTGTGGAGCTGTTGGCTACAGGTCTAGTCGATTGGTGCCTGTCCAAGTGGTTGAATGTTCAACATGCTCGCTTCGTAACCTGGATATTTTTGCATCGGATTCCCGGTAAGTGCATGTTAGGTGAGTGCTGCTGAAGAGTTCCAAACCAGGACGGAACGCCTGTTCAATACTTCCTGGTTTTCTGACTGATATCAGTCCGTGATGAAATTTAATTTAAACTCAATTCAGTACTATGCAGACCCGACATCAAATGAAGACAAGACCAACACCATCTGCAAAATAATGAGGTTCCATGAGGTTTGACATGCACCATATTAGTCAAAATGGGCTTCCCTTTTGATTCAGAATCCAAGAACATAAATTAGCTGTGATAGGACACGATATGTATTCTTTTATATCACCATACGTATAACAATTATGAACACCAATTTGATTGATAAAATTAAGAAATTTTGAACAGAGAAGCCCGGTACTCAAACGAATCAGCGATTAACAGACCCACATTATCATAGATCAAATTTATCAACTAATAAAGAATAAGCCACACAATAAAAAAAGATCAAATTCCAAGTCAATAAAAACGATCAATACCGATACAAACAATAACAACCAATCATAACAAAGTAGGTTGTCAAGAGATACAGTTGTATCATTCGCGGAGAATTGAAACAAGTTCATAGAATACAACCACATCAAATTCATTCAGCTGAGCTAAAACTCTCAATTATTTCGAAAATTTAATTAATTTTATTTTCAATACAAATTTTAATACAAAAAAATAACTGTACATATTTTTAGAAAACAGTTCATACAAGTTACAGTTTATTATGAAAACATAATTTGCAATGTTGACAATTGATCACTTGAATGTTACCATTCATTAATATTTTTGTTTAAATGAACATTTGGCGGAGGTTTAACAAATTCCATAATATTATCAGAGATTAAGCGTTTTTCAAATACAACACGTTTTAACCAACTGATTGGCCATAAAAATATTATCCATATACCAATATAAAATATATATACCCATTTTATTTTATTAATAAAGGCAGTTTCAAATCTGAATTTTATAGTTAAGGTTATATGCATGTGTGTGTATAGTTGATTTGGAAAAAAAATGACGTGAATTTTGCTGCGCGAGGTACTCCTCTATCACAACAGCTTTTTCTGATTACATGAGAAATTTAGAAGACAAACAATAGTGTGCAAAGAATATTCTTTGCAATACCTTCCTGTAGGCTTACAATGAAGCCTGTTAATTATCGGATCTGTGAACATCATCCTGCAGAGTGGTTAAGGACAAACCAGGTGTATTCTTAGCTGCCTCTTTTAACACAACCTTCTAGATATTGAACATAGAGTTGATGTTAACAAAGCATTTAAAGTTATCTATCTCTCAGTCATATTCTGAATAATGTTATTTTCACCTTACGAGTTCATCTTCTATAAATACAGCTGAAGTCCTCGGAAACCACCTTAAGACAAAGAAGTTCTTTTAGACGCCATCATTACTTGACTGTAAAAATCTGTCAATTTCCTCTTCCGCCTAAATCTTTTACATGTTAGTATTGTTGTTTTAATTATGTTTAATTCTCGCACTAATTTCCTTATGCATAGTGTCACTCAAAAATGCTTTCGAACTGTAATTGTATCGGACTTAACCATTCAATGTTATTTAAACAAAAACGTTAAGTTTTCAAGAGTGTGTTTGTGAGGATTTGATCGGCTTCAAGTCTGATAAAGGCTTGATATCAGTTAGAAAACCAGTACTGGAGTACTGGACAACCAGATGTTTCCTACCAGTTTGGGACTCATCAACAGTACGCACTCACTGGGTTTTGAACCTAGGACCTTCTAGTTACAAGGCAAGCTCATAGAAATTAGAATTCATGGGCCATTAAGTTGAGTCCCATTGACTGAATAATCTATGGGCTTGCCTTGTAACTGGAAGGTTTTGAGTTCAAACTCTGGCGGCGGGTGAGTACTGTTGAAGAGTTCCAAACTAGGATGAAACAGTCATCCAGTGGGTTTTCAGTGGTTCCCTAACTAATATTAATCTGTGTTCAAACTTAAAAATGTTATGGTTGTCTATATATATATATATATATATATATATATATATATATATATATATAATGATCATTGGTAATTTCATAAAAAAGGATACAAGATCTCTTTCTCTGAAAGATGAATCATTAAATCGATACTAAATGATCCTGGAGAGTTTGTTTTGTCCATACTTGCCAGATGACGAACCTTTCCAAGATGAATAGTTACTATTAAAAAAAAATAATAATAGCAGTAATGATTTTTTCATAATAAAAAGTAACAAAAATAAATTATACATTATATTCTCAGATGTTAGTCTATACAGATTTGACTGACCTCAAGATTATTAGTGAACTGACGAATATCAGTTATAGAAGCACTGAAAACCCACACCGTAGTATTTGACACACATTTCGTCCTACTTTGGGGCTCTTCATCAGTACGTACCCACTGATGTTTGAACCCAAGACCTTCTGGTTACACTGCTAGCTCATAGACCATTTAGCCACTGGGATCTGATCCAATGGTCTGTACATGAATTCTAACCTCTGCCATTTTCCGACATATACATATATAAATATAGCGCAACCGTCAGCCAGTGTCATAGGCGAGAAACTGTCCTCTTGTCAGACTTGGATAACCCCGCTAGTTACTTCTTCTTCTCACTAGAACTCCACATGTCAGATTAATTTTCAAGTGTTAGTCTGCAGGGATTTGATTGGCTGAATTATTCTAAGCTGGGACCAATCAGCTTTCCAGTACTCCTAGGTTCTTTAACTGATTTCAGCTTGCGATCAAACGTGTAACCAATCATATCCCTGAAAAGCAACGCTTATAGTAACAATTCCCCTTTCCCATTGGTCGTAGGGCTGGTTGAATTTTCCACATGTCCAGGATAGGTGTTGAGTCATTTTTACTGCAACTATTCTCAATTGATTCGATGAATAAAGCTTCATTTATAAATCTCTCTCTTTTCAACCTGCCATATTAGAATTTAAAACTTTCATCTTATCCTATGGGTCCCAGTGGCTCAACGGTCTACGAGCTAGCCTTACAACCAGAAGGTCCTGGGTTCGGGCCCCGGTGGGTGCGTACAGTTGAAGAGCCTCAAACTACGACGAAAGAGGAGTTCAGTATATCCTGGTTTCTGTACGTTGGTGGTTTAGCAGTAGGATGTTCTCCAATCATGCATGTGATCCGGGCTTCGATTCCAAGACAGCGCACACTCTTGCCTCCCATAGCTGGTAGTAAGCAGGACAAAAACAGAAGGTGCTACGGAAACTTCAAAACTCAAGCTTGAAGCCCTGTGCTCCACTCAGAACACAAAGGAATAAAAAAGGTAGAAGGATAATAATAATAGCAATAATTTTATCCCATCCTGTTGTATTGTTGTATGTAATGCAATAGCTTAGCTTTTTTCCCCTAAATTTCTTTTAAAGTTGTGTAATTACAACTGATAGGATTATAAACAATAAATCGTGTTTTAAACTTCCTTATCCAGTAAATACTACTGTTTCACTGTGTGCCTGTGTGATATCCGATAAACAAATTAATATGGAATTAGACAACACCGAAGTACCCAAGTTTTGCACCTATATATATATATATATATATATATATATATATATATTAACGATATACGTTAGCGGTGATGATATAAAGCTAAGTGACAGAGGTTAGTATTCATGGACCATTGTATTAGGATCAAGTAATCTGAATAGTAATATGCTCATTTGAAGGCTTGTTTTTGACCCTCTCTCGGATCATAGATGCAGCATACACGATAATAGTGCTTAGTTGTGACAGAACGGCCTATCATTAAGGACTTCATATCAAAATAGACTTCAACAATGGATATTATTAATACTAAGATAGTCACTGAAAACGATGGAGCATTGGACAGGTGTTTCATTCCAGTTTGGGGCTCTTCAGAAGTACGCACCCATGACCTAACCAGCAACGGAATCCTAGGAACTTACGTTATAAAGTCAAGTCATTGACCATTTATTTAGTCAGTGTGTTGGAATTCAGATATAACTTGCCCAGCTGCATATTGCTGAAGAGTCCCAAATTATGACAAAACAGACATCCAATGAGCTGATTGATTTCCATTTGTCCTGTAACTGGCATTTGTCCGTGGAGGGATTTACATTGAGTGTTAACTCCTATGTTGACAATTTCCGCCCACATATTCTATGGGTACCTAGAAAGTATCAGGAGCGTTGATACTTCGATTACGATACAGAGTTGTTTGTGTTGCCAACCACTTCTTTAACTGTGATACTATCGCTGACCAATTCAGGCAATAAAGCACGCTCCCTAGTGTTTAAAAAATACACGAAGAGTCTTTGTATTCTAGTTTTCAACTTTCAAATGTTATGCCGAATGACATTACAGACATTACCAACTTAAACTGCAGTTCCTCAGGCATCGCTAAAATATGCCTACAAGCCTTACCTGTGATATACAGCTCGTTTAACCCTATATTTGAGACAAACTCTAAAATTGTAAGAAGATTTTATGTGTAATTTCCACTAGACTTTCAAGTAGAGAGCTAGTAGCTGCTCAACTGAATCCTATTTTGAACGATTATCTTTGAACTAGTTCGTGATACTCTTTTACAGCAAATTCAAATCCCGCGCTTAAGTATCTATACTAACTAGAGTTCTGATGAAATATAAAGGTATATCGAAGAACTAGAAACAATTATTGCCTCTTGTAATTTCATATAACCACTAACTGTTCTTGCCCTGAAGAAGATATGAAAATGGACACAGAGAGTTGACTCTGACTAATCTGAGTAGTAGGTCAAGCTTTTACACACTTCAGGTGGCATACAAAGGTAGAAAAAAGTAAGAGAAAATTCTGTAGAGCTATGGTGAGCAGAAATGTGTGAGAAAAAGCGTAGTAACATAGAACAACATGACAACTTAATGGACTTAGGGGAGTGAATACATACGCACCATTGAGAACGATTTCGTGGCATATCAGTAACATTATCCAGCCACTGGTTCTTACTATCCAGAGGACCTCAACCAGTCAGGAAGTCTACACCTCCCTACATGCCTGACTCAAATCAACTGTCAAAGATTTCATGGACTGATTCAAAGTTTTGGTTTGACAACCAACAACTTGGTCCATCCTATGTCAGTCAGCTGACATTGCCCATTGTCGAGGAAGGCGATGGCTAGGCATGCGTAACACATGTCCTACTTCTCAATCTTCTATGTGGCTTCACAACATCGTCGATTGATTCTCTCTCTTTACCTAGCACTCTACTGAAGACTAACTTCAACAGTACTCACCCTATTAAACTAAATAACACTGAAGACGGAACGCAAGTTGGTTGCCTTAGATCAATAGTCAAAAACTTCATGGAAGCTGTGCCACTGTTTCAGTCTGACCACATTTAACTCTTTTCTCACCTAATCCTATGTCAGCTAATATTGCTCAACAATGTCAGAGGAGTCTTGAGATGCATAATACGCTTTCACACTTGACAACTTGAAGGAATATACAATGCTATGCGCCTATAAATTAATCTCTTATTCTAATCCCTAGAGTTTATAACGGTTGGTTGTTTTTGTACTGTTTCACACAGAGAGGAGGTTTATAGCTGATATATGAGTTACTGAAATACACACACACACAACAAAAAAACAACTTCTAACTTACAATTCCTGTCCATTATGTCGTACATGATATTGTCTAGTTCATATGTTATAGTGTTATAACGTATAATATTCGCACTGACTAGTGTTCTCTGTCAATTTGAAACAAAACAAACAAAATGGAGGTGTGAACACTTTGAAAAGGCATAATAAAGAATGCAAGCAAGTAATAAAGACATAAATTTTAATGATGCATTTTTGTAGGAATTTGTATCAATTTGAATGAAGATTTCTTGATGAACTAACATTAATTTTCAGGAGTTGGTTTGTGAGGATTAAATTAGTTTTTACGAGTTTGACCACGGATTGATATCAGTTAGAGAACCATTGAAAACCAGCTGGGGAGGGAGTACTGGACAGCTGTCTCCTCCGTCCTAGTTTGGGAATCATCGGCAGTACGCACCCATTGCCAAGGTTCTTACACCGGAACTTCCGGTTACAAGGCAATCTGGCTGGCTCGTATACTATTAAGCCACTGGGACACGATAAAATGACCAGCACATGAATTCTAACTTCTACCAATTCGTGATTCTTTTTTAGCGCAACCACCAATCCCCACACTTAACTGGTTGGACCGGTTGTTGGTCGCGCTAAATCACGAATTGGTAGAAGTTAGAATTCATGGGCTGGCCATTGAATCGGGTCCCAGTGGCTGAATGGTATACGAGCCAGCTAGCTTGCCTTGTAACCGGATGGTCCTGGGTTCGAACCTTGGCAGTGGGTGCGTACTGCCGATGATTCCCAAACTAGGACGAAGGAGACAGCTGTCCAGTACTCCCCCAGCTGGTTTTCAATGGGACTAACATTAGTTATAATTCATTGAAAGACAAGGAGCAATAAACAGCTTTTTCATCCTAGTTTGGGACTCTTTAGCAGTGCACACTCGTGATCACATCGGAGATCGAACCTAGAACCTTTAGGTCACGAGTCATTCCCATTGATCATACAGCCAGTAAAAAAATCATAACTATGAGTAGTATATAGTGACTGGAAACTGAATTATTGTTTTTCTTTTTCGGGAATTCATCAAATGGTTAACTGATAAGGACTTTAAAGTCTGACACTGGCTGGACTCAATAATGTGGCGCACCGCGTGGGGAGGGAGAAGACAGGTATATAGTGTAGTGACTAAAAATTAGAGAGGATTTAGATTCCGCCGGTGATTTATGTCTCCTGTCTCACAAACTCCAGAAGTAATGAGTGAAGAAATTTTTCAAAAAAGGTAGAAAAGACATGACTTCAGTTGACCGCAGAGAAGACAGAGGCTATGAAAGTGATCAACTAACAACAACAAACTCCATTTACCAGGAATAGAAGAAATCTACACTTATCTATCTAGGCAACTTGGTTTCAAGGTGGAACGGATGACACTAAAGTCAGATCATGGCTTCTATAAGATTCAAAAACTTGGCAAGCGAGTCAACAAAAGCATATCCAACAGTTGCCCTTGGTCGATATAGAAGATCAGATAGCCAGAAAAGATAAGTGACGAGGAACTCTGACAACGAACCATTTAAGAACTTATCGACAAACAGATAAGCTGAAGTAAATGGAGGTGAACTGGACACAGGCTGAGTAGGCTGCTGATTAAAATCGAACACCCAACCATACAGTGGAACCCGAACGGGAAACAACGAGTTGAGCTTAGAAAGACTGCAGAGAAGAGAGTTTAGTGGAGATGCTCTGATTAAGCCCTAGGTTCTACTCGGAACCGAAGGGAATAATAATAATAGTAATAATATAGTAAGTACACTGACACCTAACTTAATCCCCAGAAATACTTATCACTCCAAGAAAAGTAAAACAATAGACTTACTCTATAATTTGCTCTTTCTATTGGATCTATCCCGTGCAATCTCAACGCTTGTGTTTGTTTGATAACTAATTCACTTTGAATGAATAAATTATTAATTGGCGTCATTGAAAGATATTCATTCCATACTAATCCAGTCAAATTTAAGGCAAATGTATCTTTCCACCGTGAGGAAATCTACAGATTTTACAATTAGAAGAATGAAAATGTTTGAATTAGTGGTTTTTTTTATTTTATTGGAATTTTTATCTATTTAAATATAGATAGGGTTATTACATAAGAAATGTAGCAGTAGATTATTCGATTCACATTTCTAGAGAGAAAATCTCACTGATTAGTTTTCGAGTTACTCCTGTCAGTGATTTAGTGGCGGAATGTCTGCCAGCAATTTAGGTGGTCGTGGCTGAATTCCTCACTGACGCACTGATAAACCTCGCCTAGTTTGCTAGCCATTGGTAAGCCCGATAAATAGGGAAGATTGGGGTGGGGTGGGGCGGAGAGGCTAACAATCATACTCCGTATGAATAACACCACCCCTACTGAAACTTCAAGGCCTGAAGCCCTATATTCCATCTGGAATCCAAATAAAAAAGCTATCTCTTGTAATTCCGTCAGCACCTTGCAAAATCCTCAAGTTGCTGTGTGCTTTCAGACTGAGCTTGGTTTCTACGTCACTTAGTTTAACATCGGCTGCTGTTGTTCAATGGCAAAGTAACTAAGTTCCACTCATAACCTATTTATATTTTGATAGTTCAAAGAAAGATTTATTCTGGATGATCCAAGTAATTCTTATCAAAAATAACAATAGACTAAGACTACTTCAGTGTCTTATTTAGCGATAATCTTTCTACTGAGATTAACTTACTTTCTCTGTGAACTCACTTGCCGATCAGATCTTTCAGCCACATAGTTATTGTGTGTGTGAGGTCTGATTATACTACCTCTTTGCCTAGTCTGGAGAAGGCAAGGTGGCTTTCGAACCCAGAGTTTGCTGGCTGAAAGTGCGGTGCTGATGTCAACGAGCAACGTCCCTGCGTACTCTGCTGTGTGATGGCTATAGCTAATAAACTTTTCCTAGGATTTCAATCTTATCTTGTCTCTGATACAAAAGTCTGAAGTTTTCTCTAAGTGGTTTTAAGCCAATAAATTATGAGAAATATATATATGACATAAGATCCAATTAAAATGTGAAGTATGAAAGGAGATTCTATCAGTAATTGACTTCAAAATGGTCAATAATATTCATTATTATGAGAATTTTTGTATATCCCAATGAGTGGGAAATGCTAAAACTCTCATTACAATGAATGTCATGTAGCTAAGGCCTGAGTTTTTTCAAACTGTTAAAACTGAACATGATTTGGACGTATATAGTTAACGGTATATAAATGTTGGGCCTTTTAATGGGTTTGATAACATGATTATCCTTTATTAACATGTACTATATGTGCATCTGAGCTAATATTTAGCATGTTCTTCGTGCTACTCAACCCTAAATTCATCTACAGTGTTTTGATCAGCTTACCTTTTACTTAGGCATATTCCTGAAGTAAATTTAAACCGTCCATAATAAAGCAAATCTTTGAACTTGTTTTTTATTAGTAGTGCTTAAACGTTAGATTAAATACTGAGTTTATTTCTGGAGTCATTATGGGTTTCTTTTAGGACATTAAAAATAACATCAACTTCTTCTGAAAGTAAATAACACGATTAATGGATTACTTTTATGTTAATCTGAAGATATATTACGGTTAGATCAGGGTGAGGTTAGAGAAAGATTAGGGTTAGGTTTGACTAAGGGACCCAAATTCGCCCTCTTAGTGCGTTCATTCATCAGGGTGACTATGCTTCAAAACCGTCACACGCATATCTGTCTTTTATACACATAGATGTGATAGGCACATACACTTCTTCGAATACCATGATCGCATAAACTCTCATTAAATGTAGAGATTGACAGGTATGATAAAAACCACTTCACAGATCCATAAAGCCTTAATACCTATCATATGTGTAAAGTACCCAGCTAGCATTTTCTTCGAGCGCATTGCAGAACGTGGGACAATTATCTGCAGTCTGCCCCAAAGATTCTGCAGTGCTCCCGAAGTCGATGCTATAGCTAGGGTGGCTTGTTGCAATACACGAAAGACATATTTCAGGTCCAGTATATTTAGTCAGAGCATGAGTAAAGTACCTACTTTTAGACTGCATGTTATTGGGATAAATAGACGTGCACCCATTACGCTGAAGTTAACAATGTTATTCAGAGTGACAGAAATTTCAATAGCTTTTGGCACTGACTTTCCAGCATCTCTGGCTGGGAAAGGAATAAAACTTTCATGAGTGAAATAGTTGAATGATCCAGGAAGCATATTGCTTCTCACTGTGTTCAGTACATTATCTGATCCTGACCACATTTTGAAGTCAACTTGATTATACTGATCAACTGTAGGTATCCAGATGAATGCATGGTTTATTTCAGGAATACATGGACCTATATTCACAGGGATGTATTTGTAGAACGGCCATATGTCTAAGAAATTTTCATGAAGATTACAAGCTTGAGTAATTACTTTTCAGGTAAGATAAAATAATAACCGGTCCAACGAAAAGAATAAACGATGTTATGAGATAGAACAGAGATGTTTTTGAGATAAATGTTGTCTTGAAAACTTTCTCCTCCGGATGGTGAAAAATTTCAACCATTGCGCTGTTAGCAACGCCAAAATTAGGATGTGATACAATATACAATTGAGGATGTAAAACAAGGAAATATCTAGTTATGGTGTCTCCTGATTTTCGTATGGCGACTATCTTCGAAGTGTATGAGTGTATACTTTCGAAATTATTCTGAGGAGAGACACGAGTTTATTTAGACGCCATTAAGACGTGTGAATGAAATTCCATTATCCTGTATCGTTTTTACGAGCTAGTATAAACCAATTTGATTTCTTTGTGCTCGCCTCTTGATTGTGAGGTAGAGGTTCCTGATCTTCGGTAAACGCCTGCGTAGCTCGTCCCGCCACTCGACTGTTGTAGCTTTGGTTGACTCCAAAAGGAGTAGTGCAGGGATTAATTATATGTGGTTTGTAGTATGAGGCGTGTTAAGACTGTTACTACTGTGAATGGAGTTGATCCTTTCGCCAGTTGGTCCTCCGGTATCGTCGTCAATAGAAAAGAGATAATAATAATCATAGATATAATTAGTGAAGGTATTCAGACTAACAGACAGAAAAAGACTAATAAAATGTAACAACAGTCAATCAACCGGTATATATATATATACCGGTAATAATGATAATAATAATAATAAGTGTAGTTAAAGCTGTCAGGAGAGTAAGACGGAAGAGAATGTAAAGAAGTAAAACAACCAGTTTAACTGTCTACCTTTGAATGGTGTATGCGATTTTAAGGGGATAGGCCATTTGGGTGCAGTCCTTGTGTCGCTGCATGGTTGTCCAGCCTTCACTTAAAGGCGTCCACAGACTGTGCCATAGCTACGTCTGCCGGTAAGGAATTCCAGGGACGGCAAACCCGCAGTGAAAAGAAGTGGGAGCTACCCCGGGTCCTTGCCCTCTGGTGAGCTATCCTTCTAGGATTTCCACGAGGGAGCCTATACCTACTCAATGGCAGAAAACCCTTGTTTGGGTGATTCTGATCATTTGTTATTTTGTAGGCAGTAATTAAATCCCCCTAAGACGACGGTAACTAAGTGTGAATAGGCCTAGTTTCTTCAGCCTTTCATCATATGGTTTATTTCGGAGACCAACCACTCCTTTTGTTGCCCGTCATTGGACTCTTTCCAAGAGGTTGGCGTCTCTTCTAAGCAGTGGGCGTGCAATGATATTATGCACTTCAAGATGCGGTCTGACGTATGTTTTATACAACCTTAGAAAGAGCTCAGGAGTGAGTGCACCTAATTGTCTATGTGTAAAGTGTATGACCGCATATGCCCTCGCTACGTCCCCCGTGTAATTTACGCTTGTGTCCATTTTCTCCGTTAGAACTAGACCTAAGTCACGTTCCGACGTTGAGCAGGACAAGCTTTCATTGCACAGGGTGTAACTTGCATTCTGCAGTCTACAGGTGCGTAACTTCACTACTTTGCACTTTTTCAGGTTGAAAGTCATGCCACTGTCCACCGCCCAGTCTTCCAGAAGCCTTAGATCTGCTTGCAGTCTATCTGAGTCCTCTGGACACTTTATCGCCCTCCATATCTTCACGTCATCAGCGTATAGAATAGTCGGGCAGCTTAGACGGCATGGTAGATCATTGATAAAAATCAAGAACATCAGCGGTCCCTGCGACACTCCTGATGACGAGCTGTGCCAAGATGATCGGACTCGATTGACCTTGGTGCAAAATTGCCTTTCAGTTAGATAGTCCTTCAACCATGACAGAAGTGGTTTACCTATACCTACCTGGCTTATTTTGTGTAGGAGGAGGTCATGGTGAACAGTGTCAAATGCCTTCTCAAAGTCTAGAAAGATCACATGGACTGGAACATTCATATCCCAGCATGATGTCCAGTCGTCCCAAGCTGATAATAAGTTAGTGACGCAGGATCTCCCTTTCTTGAAACCGTGTTGGGCTTCATGGAGTATTTTAGACCTTTCGAGATATACCCTGATGTGATCATCAATAATACTTTCCAGTACTTTTGATACCACTGGGAGTATAGCTACTGGTCTATAACTAGTGGGATTTTGCCTGTCCCCACCCTTCAGCAGTATCATGGTCACAAGCTAAAAATGGTAGCATCGTATGTCTTCGTGGAGGTCGCCATCTGTGTTGGTGCAATGACTTTTTCAGTTCAGGTAAATGGAAATTAATCAGCGCTTAATGCAAGCGTTGGAGGGAGCTCGAGAGAATGGAGGTATGCCACCATTTGTGGGAGACACTGAGGGGGAAGCACAGTGAGTCAGCTATTGTGGGAGCATGATAAATGCCTCTAAGAGGGAAGCCCATCATTTTTCGCAGAGTAGAATAGTTGAGTGAAGAGGCTGTCCTGGTAGCGTATATCTACACAGTGTTGCCACTAAGCAGAGTATTCTGAAATATCTGCGGTCTCTGGGTGCCACCCTTTCGCTCGATAGGATGCTACGTTTATGTCCAGCGCAGTTAGGCAGTAACGGTTGATCGACAGTTGATGTTGTCTACACATAGTTATTATGAGGAGATAACGTAGTGTGAAAGATATGTCTTATGCACGAGTTCTAAACAAGAAACTGGTCTGTGAATAGCAGTAACGCCATATTGACAGGGAAATAAAGGATATACACCAAAGCAAATATTCGTTTACAGTACACTATGCAAGGGAAATCAACCGAACAATTTCATTAACCTGGGAGCCCAGAATGACATGTCTGCACTCAGAACATGTGTCGTATGTCCACATCGAGAAGAGTGCTGAACATAGGTCTAAGTTTAGAAGATTAATCAGTGCACCGGAATACCAAATGTGGTAACCGACGCGAGGATCTCAGAAACGGATTGACAATACGAAGACTGTTTTGTTCCTCACCATCAATGAACCAGACCCACAGGGCCACAAAGCACAAAGTCTGTGAATAAATGTCAACGTAAATGACACAATAATAATTTTTGTTTCTGGAACAGAAACCAGCCATTTTTACAGGCATGAACAAATGTACACTAATTAGAACTTATAGAATATATATGATTTGTTAATCTAGAAATAGATTGAATACTGGTAAATTTGAGAGAAATATTTAAAAAGAAATGTACAAATAAGGCAATAGGTAATTTTCGAGATATGCTTTCAACTGAATAATTCATGAGAAATAGCATCAAATCAAAACTGTAATTGAAAAAAAATACGGTATGTCAATTTCACGCGGGAATTATAAACGATTACGTTAATTGTGGAAGGTAAGTAGCATTTTTGTACAGGTGCTGGCGTGAAATATAAGAGATGCGGAATGAACAGTAATTGTAAGTAAATGATTCATAGAGTGTTTGAAAGTCCATAAAACTTCAAATTCACCGGTAAGTACACCATAATTGTGACATTTCCAGTTGTATATGAGACCAACTTTGAACTTGTCGGCAGATTTCATGATAGAGGTGGTTCCGTTATTCACCAGGTGGGCTAGCAATATTCCGAGGATAGCGGCACTGTTTCAGTACCTTCGTTTAAGGCAGTACCTTTGAAAAGAGAAGAAGACACAAGGAAACCGACAGAGAGGTGCAGAAGTATATAATAGGTGTTAATAATTCAAAACATATGTAAAAAACATGGGTTCATCATATTTTTGTTTTTTCTTCATTTAAAAAATACTATTTCCCCCTGAGATTTTCTAGTGATGGAATTCTAGTCTTTCTTGCGAAAAGAAAATAAAAGTTCAAGTGAAAAAAGGATGATAATTTTACCTACTTATATAAGTTGAATATGAGTTAAACACAAAAGTCAAAGTGCGTGAACTATGTAGAAGAAAAGCGAGGGCTTAATAATAACTACCGTTTTTCTGAAGTATACATTTAGGTGTCCTTCTGAAGTGGGGGACTCATACCATGTACTTGCATTCGAGGAGTTTGTTATTTAAACTTCAGCTTTAGGCAAATTTTCAACTTCTGTTGTCTTTTTTTAAATTTTATTTATTCTCTTATTCTGATCATTTCCCTTTAGTCCAATACCGACCAGCTTACGATTAGGCCTTGGCTGCCATTGTTATTTCCTTACAAAATGGAGATTATTAAGAACAAAGAAAGGATATCCTGCTGACTCAGTGCTCACCAACATTGAGAGTATATCTGACATCACAGACTAGCAGTAACGAAATTCTCACACAGTGTAGCCCATTTTGGACTCTGGAAACCGAGAATTTGTACGGAAAGCTCCTCTCAAATCTGAACATAGTTACAGATCTTGGGGTAATATACTCAGATTTAACCTTTTTCGATCATGCGAATAAGGTAGCACCTGACTATAAACGACTTACTGGCCTTGTTCTGCGTAACTTTACACTCAAAAAGCAAGATTAGCTATATATAAGACATGTATCCGCCTCAAACCTGAGTATTGTACTCCTCTATTTAGTAACCTAAGGTCTGCAGACCGAAAGAAAGTCGAAAGTGTCCAGAGATTCCTCAGAAAAATCAAAATAGGGTTTGACTAACAAGTGGAATATGTTGACAGGTGTATGCATCTGAATTTAGAACCTCTGTGGTTAAGGAGAGTGAAGTGCAACTTATTTCTACCATTCAGAGTCATTAGAAAACATCGTTATAGTAACTCATCCATAACGTGGGAAAATACTAAACCATATCAGCTGCGAAACCACGACTCCCTTGTCAAGGTGGCTTCCCACAGAAAATCCATTAGGGCGAACTTTTTCACCATAAAATATTGCACTCTTTGGAACCAACTACCATGTGAAATTAGATTTTGTGAAAACCTCGATGGGTTCTAACGGAGCCCAGAAAGATACATTAACATGTCCACCCTAGCTTGTCTAAAAGACCACGACAGTTAGTAGAATGGTAAATGAAAGCCAGTCCAGTCTCCAATGTAGTCAGTTACATATAACTTTACTCCACTACTTATGCAGCGAACGTATATCTAATTTACTGATTTCTATCCTCCATAATCTTCAGTAAGTTGCGTTTCTGAACGTATTTCTGGAAACAATTATATTAGCAACCATACGTTTTAATATTTTACATATATATGCGATGCTGTTGTT